CGCGCTGCCTTAGCTGGAGGTTCCTCTGTCGACTCATCCCCAGATGGGGTTCGGGATCGAACTGTAGTAAAGAAATACACCCTCACCAGAGGCTATGCCCTTCCCTACTACCACCAGCCTTAACGTCAGGCATCACTTCAACATCCTCCTCTTCTTCTTGTGGGACCTCACCGTCGAATACGTCGAAAAGATCGTCTTCAGTAGCCATAGTGAGCCAAACTAAAGCTTAGTAGTGACTTCCCGATTCACCTCTACCACACCATCTACCACAATCGAGCGAATCAATGTTAGTTCGAACTATTCCCGCCCGCCCAACTGATCGATTCACTTGCCGCGTTTTCAAGTCCCCAGCAGCGAGAGCTGTAGAAACGAAGAGTATAAGGAGAATACGGTGGGAGGAGTGCGTTCAGTGCATTCCGCGGATACCTAGAAGAGAATGAGCGCATCGCCATCGAAAAGGACGGACCCTTAGAGTGATAGCTATGAGCCATACGGGCTGATTATAGAATTCTTACAATGCATGTTTACCCTGGATCGTTAGAGAGGACAGTAGCGAAAAGCCATCTCCTTAGAAAGATGAGTGTCAGCGCGTTCGAAGACGATTCGCGGTATCGAGAGTCGTTCTTATGCAGTTAGCCTGTTGCATGGGATGCCCCAGGGAAGAAGACAACCAAAGGATGGGAGCTGAACTCATTAGCATCTCCAATATATCGGACGATTCCCCTACGACTATGCACCGAAACACGCATCAAGCATCTCTGTCCTCGCCATTTCTCACTGTAAAGATTCGTGTATATACTCGCTCGCCTAACAGTGAAACCGTTGTAGTGTAGAAGGTAACACCAAAACTAAGAATATCCTTGGCATCAACACTCCTGCGGAGTTGTGCACCTGGCCGATGATCAACACACCTCCGCTAGCACGAATCTCACAATAAGCTATATCCGTGAGAGCGCACATCTTCTAATGTTATTAGTCATTATAGCGCTACTGAACTCGGTCACAATCGTAGCAATGAGAGGGAAGAGGCAAGTCCCCACTGGCCTGTTCCTGTACGGCCGATCTTCAACTCATTCCCATCATAGAGACACGTTGGAATCAGTGACGACATGCAATCGTGATAGGGCACGAATTCTTGCTGTTGGATCATGAGCATCTACGCCACTCCGAAACGCCAAGTGAACTAACTTCCTCCTTAACACAAGCCACACCAGAGACGATATTACACTTCGCCGAGGAAACCCTATTATCGGACACAATACTAAAGGGAAGTATAGATCCAGTGAGAAGATAACAAATAGTGGGAGTTAGAAGGGCATGATAGCACTCGCGATAGCCAAAATGGTCGTGTTCATCATCGGGAGTGCTTGTCCCACACGACTCTCTAGTAACAAAGGCGACTTCGCGAAGACAATTGGCACCAACTGAGATGACGTTTTTCATAATCTCAAGAAACCTATAAGTATTACCTGTTCAATAAGAGGGTCTTTGCCTCCTCGGATAGGACACTCGACAATCGGATCAGAATGACCACAGCCTGGTAACACTTTGAAGGTTACGTGCCTGACACGGAGAAGAGCCAGTGCAACATTAATCTACCAACTGCTTGTGTTACTGGACACCGCAATACTGCAGAGCTTTCTTGAATTGGACGGATGACTCAATAGGCACAGTAACGTCAGAATCACCTACACCAACAACAATTCAAAATCCATCCACTTACCATGGTGAACTATCACAACTACCGTTACTACCGTGGAACAGGTATATCTCAGGAAGCCTGTGCATAGCCGCTTTGCTCCTGCCAGTGGACTCGGACAGAATTCTAGTCGGGGAGACTCGGAACAAATCATTGCCCATCATAGCCATCACAACGTTTGAGTATCTGAGCAGCAACAGCAGATCCTAAGCCCCACAGAGAAGATACTGCTCATTACAGTCCTCGACTGTTGAGATGTGGAACGATAGACACCATGTCGTAGGGTCCAGATATCCCTACGAACGCCCGGATATTGCTCAGTGACCACATCTGGTTCAGCTCCACGTTCTTGATAGCAGCCTGATAAAGTGATACCCACTCCTCGACAGCGCTTCCTTACTTTCTCCTCCTTGATCGCCTTGTTGATAAGCAACTAGAAACAATGGCATCAATCGACACGCCTTAGTACTGACAGATCGCTCACCATCGCCACAATGTGAGCTCCAGCACTCTGGCCTGTGAGAATCACATTGGAAATGTCACCACCATAACGATCGGCATTTTCGAACACCCAACTGAGAGCAAGGGATAAGCCATCCAAATGAACTATGCTGATACTACTTTATGCAGTTGTTGACATCTTCGACCATGTCATCTATCTTGCCCTGTGGGAAATTCCGGTAGTCGGGGGCCACAAAGAGGGCGCCTCTCTCAAAGGCAAGACGTCGGCCCATACACGCCGACCATGCGCGGAACCTTTCACCATAGAATGAGACTTTAGCAGGGAAAAGGATACTTACCCGATCACCCAAGCACCGCCCATCACATTGATAACAATGGGGAGCTTTTTCTGACGACGCTTCTCTGGAGGGTCCCAGTAGTAATCAGCTGGGAGATAGATATCCAACTGGGTACGACCATTTGGCCCATACCGTATTCCACGGAGCACCTGAGATGGTAGTAGCTCCTACGCACTACGAAAGATTC